AATATATATATAATGTTAATAAGAAAATAAATTGAAATTCCTAGTAAAAGTAATTTAATGACATTCAATAAACTATTTAAGTAAAAAAATGCAATAAAAATACAATTATTTAGAATTATTATAACAATGAACTAAAAAGGTATAATTTCACATAACATTTTAGATGTTAATGTGATGTCGTTAAATTTTTTCATCCATGTGAATTAAATACATATTTTGCTACTTGTTTTCATAAAAAAAAACAAAGGTTCATCCCATGTGTTACATTTTATACATAATTTATATTTTGAAAATTTTACACATGTATGTCAATGAATAAAATAAAATTATAATTTGTCTATGCAAAATAAAATATTAATAATTTATTTAAGCAAGAAGATAATAAATAAAAAAATGAATAATACTTTGTCTGCAAATTGATTTTAGACATTAATTTTGCATGGAGAAAATAATAATAATTATATGGATTTAATTTGATTTTTATTATGTAATTAAAACTTTATCTTTTATATTAACCTTATGATCCTTATATGTACTAAAAATGGAGATATTTTTATAATAAAAAATTTCATTTGTTTTTGGGAGATTCCTTGATAAAGATTGTTAAGCTTTGGCTTAGGTGAGTAATACTAGAGGTAAGATTGAATCTTGGGAAACAAAAGGCCTGTTTGGCTAATTTTTTGTTTTTTCATTATGTTTTTCTACTAATAATTACAAAAATACTTTTTTTTTCAACTTTAACAAAGGGATACCTTTGCTTATGAGGAACTTGGTCTCCCTTATTTCTACTATAACCTCCTCTTTCTATCACAATCACTTGAATCAAGCTCCTTTATCACTTAAGGTGACACTTTTCTCTTTTCTTTAAAACATTTTAAGTTTCAAAAACACAAATTGCAACTATCCGTAAAAAAAAAAAAACAGAAAATTACAAAAGCAAGGTAAAGTCAACTACATATATACATAATATTACATATACTAAGAATGTGTTTGGCCTAACTTATTTTCAGCTTAAATTTTTACTTATAAATAAAAGCAGAGCCAAACACATTTGTTAAAAGTTTCTAAAAACTAAGTAGCTTACAATTAGTGAATAAATAATGAAAAAAAGGAGTTTTTGGAAAAACTAACAGAACGAACTTAAGTGAAGTTTTTTTTTCCTTTGTTAGCACTGTAGTTCGAGTCCTACTAGTTACTATTTATGTGTATTTTCTTTTATTTGGTTGTAGATTATTATTCTTCTTTATTTTATTTTATTTTGTTGTGTGTTTCTTATGTTCTTTATTTTTTTTTTTTACAGTTGTTGGTTACTCATGCTCTCTATTTTTTTTTTTATTTATTGAAACTCATGTTCTCTAAAAACTCTTATTAGTTATTTTTCCTTTTACAATTTATTTATTTATTTTTTCACTTCTTTTAATTACTTTTTTTTTTTTGAGAAATGATAATATACATTAATACATCCGCATGAAATGTTTATTATTTTATTCAGTGTTTTGATATGTAAAATACATTTTAACATTTTTAATGTAATTTAATATTATTGAATTTTACCTTAATAAGTTTTTATTTCTTCAAAAATATTATTGAAAAATATATAATAATTTAAATATTCTGTCATTTATATTTTAAATTTAAACTTTCTTAATTAGTATTATATATATTATTTACAAATCATCATACAAATGAAAATTTATTAATTAATTATCTTTGAAAGTTTTAAAATTAAACTTTCAATATTTTGTTGTTTAAATTTTTTTTACTAATATTTTAATTTGTAACGACCCTCCATGGTCTCTACACTTAGTGGAATCGCACTACTACTAGTAAACTAAGAGAAATATTAAAATTGGACAACTCATACATACATACACATATATATGTAAGTAAAATAACCGATTTTCTATGTACAAAATATAACATCATATATGTACAGTCATTCCAAAATAACATCACCCTAGTGCCGGTCAAGCACAACCAACAGCTACCTAAGAAGGTAACTTTGACACTGGGACCAAATTCCTCTACTCGCAGCGGTCACCTCAACTCCAAGCTAGCCCTGACCTGCTCCCATACAAGTATGATCATCGCAATCCATCCACATGGAAACAGAAGGGTAAGCTAGAGTTCAAAAAGCAATCATACAAGTACAGAATAAAATATATACTACACATGCATCCAAATCAAGTCCGAAAGGAACTTCCATATCAATCAATCATCCATTTCATCAAACATGAAGTCAAACACCATACACTTCATCATCATAACAATCATGCAATAACATGCAACTCATGATAGATATCAATACATATCAATCATCTAATGCGTCGTCACGCATACACCTAGGAGATCTCCCTAACAGTAGAGCAGTATAAGTGACATCCCATCCTATCGAAACCACCCCAATCGTTTTCACGCCCAATGCGCCTGCTCGGTCACAGCTAAACAGGATATAATCCTCACTTGTGTTTACTCGGATGATGTCACTTACACAATTGGAAGTCCAGATCTACCGTTAGGTATAACACAGTTGGGTACAGGCTTACCACGACCTTGACATGCACTACCAAGTCACTTGTGGAGTTCGCCCACAGACTATCCACAACGATCCACGCACCTTCCCTAGTACTTGGTTAAGGGAATAACCCTCGACCTCATACTGCGCTCTAACACTAGCTAAGGACTTAGAGGAGACTCACCCAACCCAGTGGCCTACCTGAGCACCACTCTAACCCAAATCCAGTGGCCTATCTAAGCACCACTCTCATTTAGATCATTATCTTATCCAATAACCACTCTCAAGAGACTCTATGTGAGCTCTTCCAGTTCGAAAATATTTTCCATCTCCTCAAGTCCTAGGCTAAACACATGCCATAAGGTACCACATGCAATAATGCATCATACATCATACATGATCAATCCACCATCATGATCAATATCATTCTCATATGAACATATACACATGTCATATCATATTTAAACATTCATACATATCATTATTAAGCATACATATGAATCATACACCTGAAAATCAGCAAATTCAGTCACATGCAAACACAAAAAAAAAAAAAACACAATGCATAGGCTCCATACAGTTCAAAAACAAATTCAAAAATTAGTATGCATTCATCTGATGCATCAAAATCACCAAAATTCCTATTTTCCCCAAAACCCCAAAATGAACAATTTCTCCAATCCAACCATGGATTCTCAACATTCATGCATCAATTAAGTTTCTAAACTCACATGCAACCTAAACAACAAACATTCTAGCTTCCCTCACCTGAAAATTGGCTCAAAATAGCCCAGAATTGAGAAGAAGAAGAAGAAGTATCCTCCAAAGCTTGACTCCTGGACTTTAATCCTCCAAAAACAAACTTTCTAGTATGAAATTCAAGAGAAGACAAAAGATATTAGTGATCTAGAGGAGAAGAAGAATCATATAAAGAAATTTGGGAGAGAAAGGAGCTCATAGACCCAGAGTCCTTCTCTCTAAAACTTCTCTATAAAATCTCTCTCTAAGTTCCCTTTTTTTTCTTCTCAACTACATGCATGTGGCCTATTTATTGAAGTCTGGAGTGGCAGAACGGCCCGTTCTAGAGTTGAGTTTAACTCACAACGACTATGTTTGGAACGGCTCATTCTCAACTAGGATTTATAGGCCTATTTAGTAGTTTGGAACAACCCGTTCCAATTTGGGAACGCCCTATTCCAATCTACTAATTACGTTACATAACTTGTGCAATACACAAATTAAATATTTATCATACAATTAAAATTTATAATATATATTTATATTATATATAAAGAGGATATTCCTCTAATTTTTACATTTTTTAGACATTTATATCTCTTTATTATATATTAATCTATTTTTCTCAACATCATATCTCTTAAGAGTAAAATATAAAATATCTATACTAGAGATATATTTTTTAATTTTTATATGTTTTAGACATTTAACCTCTTCATTATGTATTCATCTTTTTTTCACTATTATGTATATTACATATATATTATAAAATAAAATTTAACAAATAACTTTTACTTATTTTTTTTAAGTTTCTATTTTTAACTTTAACTTAAATGTTGCTTTTTAAGCCAAAAAAAAACTGA